CAGACGAAAGTAATTGGTTTCGTTTGCACCTTTAATATGAATACTTAATTACTTTTATAGTAATATAAGTACTTTATGGGATAGGGTATTTGACAGTATTAAAAATAAAGTGCCAATTGTTAGCATCTGTATTTAGAACGAATATTAGCAGGAGTTTTTACTATTTTTACAGAAAAATTATTCATAATTTTACTACAAACCCCGGATAAAGACAATAGTTTTCTTGTCTACTGTCACGTGACCCAAAATACTTGGGATTGATGGGGCCTAAAATGACGTCACACGCAAGTAAACTTCCGGTTGAAGTGACATTAGATTGTACGGTTTGACGTTTTAATGACAGTCGTGTGACGTCACACACCAGTGAGACGCCATATTGTCCAGAGATACGTTTTTCGCGGCAACTTGAAAATAGAGTTTTTGATTTAGTTTTTTTACCGAAATACACAACGTAATAGTGAATATACACTTTTTATGGACTCTATAAACATTAGAAAATAACGTGAGATCGTTTTCTAAAACTTGTCAAATACCCTATTGTTACCTTGTTTTTACATGCAACAAAGTAAATTAATTATATTAATATAATGTTAGTGACCATGAAAGTTTAAAACAATATACTATTACTATTGTCTCTATAGTCACTAACATTATAGAAGTATAAGTTATTTACGGGATTGTTATTATGTACCATATTTTTATCGAGTTTCCTATATTTCGGCACTGCTGCAAGCGCCATGATCGCGGAGTAACTGGAAACTCGCTTAAAACAAGGCATATGGTAAAATTAATATTGAAAAAACAAACTTCAAATCCTTGATTATGTGTAATAACAATTTCACTCATTGTTATTGCGGAAATTTACTCAAGTCAGATAAAAATTTGTAGAATTAAATGATAACATGTGAAGAGAAATACCTAATCATATGACTGCATTTTATAGTATTACTATCATCACAATGATGCAGTTGGCACTGTCCATAGGTGATGTGGTTCGCTAACTAACCCATCACGCGAACTCGCAGGGAAGAAGTGGGCAGGTCACGTGGCTCGCAGAACAGGCGACAGGTGGAGTCGAGCTATTGTGGAGTGGCGACTTAGAACAGGACGCAGAAACGTTGGTAGGCAGCCCGCCAGATGGTCTGATGACATCACCAGAGTAGCAGGACGAAATTGGATCCGGATCGCACAACACCGAGCAAATTGGCGCACCATGGAGGAGACCTATACCCAGCAGTGGGCGGATAAAGGTTGAAGAAGAAGAAGATTGCTAACACACATTAGCAAATATCGTGCGATAAAGATGACAGAAGTTAACACTGAAAAATGCGTATAAGAATTGCAAAATTCGAGGTTTGGCTCTTTCCTTCTCGATTTCGATTTTCTTCTCGAAAATTAGATATATGTAAAAGAAATTTCACTCATACAGTAAAAAGTAGTTATACTATGCCTCTTTGTTTTGCTTCTTTTGTAAATGCTTATTAAATCACCATACCAGCCCCTCTAGCATAACCACCGAAACGGGATATGATAAAGAGATATATCGGCATTAACTGTCAGACTACTGTCAAACTGCACTGTAATAATAATAATAAATATTCTTTATTGCACACAACAAAGGACACAAGATATAAACAAATAAAAACAGAAGAAAGAGTACAATAAGCGGCCTTATTGCTAAACAGCAATCTCTTCCAGGCAACCTATGGTGGAAGAGGAATAATAATATAGATAAATACAGAGGGGTGCAAAAGTAAATACAAGAGATAATCCTTACATAAATATTCAAGAGAAGCAAAGAAATGGGATGCTAAATGAATTTAAGAAACGGAAAGGAAAAAGCTTTTAACTTGATACGAGCCTTTCTGATTCCTTCAGGGAGAGAATTCCACAGCCGAGCGGTGTGCACAGAAAAGGAATAAGAAAAGAAGTCAGAAGTGTGACAGGGAATTTCAAGAAGAAGGTTAAAAGAGGATCGCATCGAGAGCTGAGAAGAAGAGGATAGAAAAGAGAAACACTGCTTAAGATAAGGCCGGGAAGATGGCAGGAAAAGTATTGAATAGAGGACCGTGAGAGTGTGTAAATCCGGCGAATAGGGAGCCAATTGAGTTAATGCCGATATATCGTTTTATCATATCCCGTTTCGGTGGTCATGCTAGAGGGGCAGACGTCTTTAGTGGTGATAAAAAAATGTTTATTTTTGGCATTTTTGAGGGCTTCTAGTTACTTTGAAACACAAGTTATCGAAAATAGGAACACATAGGAGCATAGAATGGGTAAAATTATATTTTTTGTATGGAAATCAATTATTTAGTGGTAAAAATCAAGGAGGAATCCGTCCACAACTTTTGTATGCTCAAAACATTGCCCGCCTCCCCTCTTAATGGTGCAAGTTGGGTCCAAGTCAATGATGGATTCCGTACAACGGGAAAGAAATCGGACCAAGTGCGAGTCGCGCACAGCATGCCGTACCATAGTAAGTATAAATAAAAATTCGATCGAACAAACAAGTTGAGTTTCAATAATTATGATTTTTGCGTATGCGATATGTAGAACTAAGAACAATAACGCAGTACTGGTGTAAATTATGGTTAAGTAGAGATTAACACAAATAATCCAATAATCCGGAAAATAATTGAGATTTAGCAACTTTTTTCTTTGTCGCACCACCCGCAAATGGAATACTTAGCTCGCTTACGTGTTCCCTCCCTGCAACAACCAGGGATCCCTTGAAAGAGGCGTGAAGATGCAACTTGCGGGACGGCATGCACCCCACGACAACAGCTAACTAGAGCCGAGGTCCGAGTCTCAGAGTCGCCCTCTAGTTGAGTCGACCCCTTCAGGTTCGAGTGGTCTAGGCTCCGGACGGAGAGGAGACTCCCCCCGTGGGGAGATGCCATCCGCCTGGAATACCTCTAGAGGCACTCGCCAATTCTCGGCTTGAGTCGCCTTAGGATCTCGCCATCTCCAAACCCGGTGACGCTGTAGAGGTCATCTTGGACAACACAAGCCGCATACACACTCAAAAAAAACTGGGGTGGAATCGGTTGAGTCCAGACGCAAAGTTACCTTTGCTTCTTGACTCCACCATCAGGTGGGGTAGTCATTTGTCGGATTTTTTGGCTATATTAATATCTGTAAATTACTTTTTGACGTGACTCTTATAAATTCATCGATTCATAATCGTGTAACACCGGTTACTGATCCTGATCCTCAGCGTGCAAGCGAGAGCGCGGAACAAGCGATAGAGAGGCACGATCGGCCCAAGCGTCTAGAGGCTCCAGATGGAGAGGAGACTCCCCCCACGGGGAGACTCCATCCGCCTGGAATACCTCTAGAGGCACTCGCCAATTCTCGGCTTGAGTTCCCTTAGGATCTCGCCGTCCCCAAACCCGGTCACGCTGTAAAGGTCATCTGTATACACACTAAACCGAATTTACCAAAAAACCAATGTTTTTCTTAAATAATGCCATTCCCAAGTTCCATACTATTCAGAAGTTATCATAAGCGAAATAATTATGAGTGATACATGTAATGAACGTCTACAAAACACTGCATCACTACATTACATACGTTTTACGACCAATTGCGACATTTTTTTTTACAGCATAGCAATGGTGCATTCGCTACAACGGGTCCTCTATATACTACTTAAAATGTTAACTATAAAATTAATTGTAACTATTTATATTCTAGATGATGTAATGGAAAGTGACTTCAGACGTATTTCTGAAGTAATTTTTCAAATTGACGACACTGTATGTAACAATACAGGGAGAAAAAAACAGCCCTTGCTGAGTTTCTTGCCGGTTCTTCTCAGTACAAGGTCTCCCGCCGTAGTTTTGCGAACCGATGGCGTAGCTTCTTGACCTTCACAAGTGCTTGTAACAGCCTAGACTGAATAAATGACATTTCATTTCATTTCATTTCATTTCATTTCATTCATTTCATTTCATTTCATTTCATTTCATTTCATTCTGAGAACTACGTAACAACATTTTCACTATCAGTAAGGGATTTCTTTCACGGAAGGTTTATATAATACTTTTAATACAAGATTGAGAACAAAAAAATATAGGAAGACTGAAGCAAAGCGAGGGCAAGCCACTAGTATAATATAGAACTAGAATTATGCCTCCGTGTGTCGCCAAACGGTCCTTGGCGATATTTTAATATTGAAGATTCGCCGCAAGCCTATTTAGACTGTAACATCGTAGTCTTAAAGTAGATTTCACTTTAAACGTCACGGTGAAAACTGACGCTTCATAAAAATGATTTATTTATTAAAGAACTGTCTGAATCTGATATTGATAGTTCCGTAACTGCAATGGACCGCTTGAAAAATGGTTTCCTGAGCTAAGTACATAGTTATAATAAAGACTTATATTTTACTAATAACGAAAACTAAAGTTTAATAACAACACGGTTTTTGGGGTATTTTATATTTGGTTTAGTAATTTTAATAATTTATCCAAACTTATCGCTATCATTACAGGGGTATTATAAATAAGCATGCAAATAGTCTAGGCTCTGAATATGATTTTTTCCCATCCGGTGTCGAGACCCTTGGTCCGTGGGGTCCTAGCGCTATAAGACATTTTAAGGAAGTACCAAAAAGGTTAGTCGACATCACAGGAGACCGAAGAGCTGGCAGCTACCTCGGACAAAGAATTAGTCTAGCTATTCAAAGGGGGAACGCTGCCAGTATCTTCGGAACCTTGCCTAAAGGGACTCCTCTTAATAATATATTTTAGTTATTATATTATATTTTTTAAGGCTTTTAGTTTTAGGTTCATTGTTCTAGTATATATATTTTTTGTGTGTAATTATTATGTTAACTTATATGATGTCGTTTGACTCATCGCCATAGAGTTCCAACAAGTTAAAATGCACACTTGAAATTATAAATCAAACGTAGCTTATGTGAATAAGGATGTTGATGTTAACTAATTCAAGTTGTTTTCTTTGTTTCATGTTTTGGCAACATTTGACTTCCGCAGAGCGCAGCTTGAGTAAGTACAACTATTGTTATGGCCTATAAATAAAATGTATTTGGTAAAGTATACTGTATAAAGGTTTAATTGTTTTAGCCTTTAAGCCTATGTCTTGTAGTTGGTTCTTAAAGACGCAACGGAATTTCCGCTGGAATGGGCTATTTGATAAGTTTTTGAAAACGTTCATACATTTTTTTTGTGTAAAGTGACTTCATGAGAAGCGGATATTTATAATTCTGCTGCTTAAATAATTAAAAAAAATAGCAAATATGGCGGGTTTGCCTGCGTGTGACATCACACGGCTGTCATTTAAACGTCAAACGGTACAACTAAGATCACTTTGACCGGAAGTTTGCCTATGTGTGACGTCATTTTATGTTCCGCCAATCCCAGGCGTTTTCGGTCACGTGACAAAAAGTTTAAAAAAAAATATTTTGCGTGTTTTTTGAGTAAAATTACCAAATATTTTTTCTGTAAAAATTGTGCAAGCCGCTGCCAATATTGATTCTAAATACAGATGCCAACAATTATTGGCACTTTATTTTTATTGCTGTCAAATAGCCTATTATTGTATCGTAAAGGTTTGATTATATTGGTAAGGCACATTGAAATTTCCCTCAATTGTAGCGCCCTGCATAGCGGATAAATTATAACCGTGGAGGTTACCTTTCAGAACACCAAAGTGTTTTTTGTGGTTTTGTTGTTTCTGTCGGTGATTACAATTTCCAAATCTCCAATCCAATCTGCCTTGTAAAACAGCTACGATGGAGAAGAGTGTAGTAATACAATAATACATTGCCTGATAGTCTTAAGAAGTTAAACGACCTCAAATTCATAACTGTATTAACTAAACTTTTGATTGACAAATGCTATTATGACATTAAGGATTTTTTTACTGACAATTTGATATTTTGACATTTCAATAATGTAATTTTGTGTTAATGTAAAAAATACTATTACATTTAAATAAAAGATATATTTTTTGGCATTTGAAAAATTATTATTTAAATAGATTTTTTTTCAACATCTATAATTTGATATTTGTTTTATAATGTTTATATTAACAGAAATTATAAATAATGTAATCATATATGAATACCTACAGAAACTCATATACCAAAATGGTGAAACATAGACAGGACTAATACTTTTATTGTCTATGTTATGAATGAATTAATTCTATTCCATTCTCTTCCATTCTATTCCATTCTATTCCATTCTCTTCCATTCTATTCCATTATATTCCATTCTATTCCATTCTATTCCATTCTATTCCATTCTATTCCATTCTCTTCCATTCTATTCCATTCCATTCCATTCCACAGCGTAGGAGATGCGATAAGGTTGGTTAAAGCACAATTGTTACTGTTGTATCACCAGAGCTTATACGCTATTGTGACATGATAAGAGAAGAAAGCTGTCCCACCGCTGACGAAAATTCAACTAATGCCGCAATTGCATTTGGTCGTTAGGGCGTATTCGGGTGCGTGAAAGGCATTACACTTATTTTTTGAGTGTGTATGCTGTTGGTCGCAGATGACCTTTACAGCGTCAACGGGCTTGCGAACGGCGAGATCCTAAGTGGACCTCAAGCCGAGAATTGGCAAGTGCCTCTAAGGCCCGTATTATAGAAGATTCTCAGTGATTGATCTAGTCTTGAGCATAGTTAGAAAGGGATGTCGCTATATATAGCACATAGCGACATCCCTTTCTAACTGTACTCGAGTAAAGATCAACACTTAGTAGTCATTCTGTAATGCGGGCCACAAGCCACAGCCATAAACGCCGCCACGAGAAGCTAGAAGCGGCTACTAAAGTGGCTGAAGCGCGCTACAGCGGCCGTGGCGGCGTTTTGTGGTTGTGGTCGGTGGCCCGTGTGCGGCTACACTTACAGAATAGTAAGTAGTAGGAGATGCGATAAGGTTAGTTAAAGCACGATTGTTACTGTTGTATCACCAGAGCTTATACGCTATTGTGACATGATAAGAAAAGAAAGCTATCCCACCGCTGACGAGAAATTGATTAAAGGCTCAATAACATTTGGTCGTTAGCCCGTATTTGGGTTCGTGAAAGACGTTACACTTTTTTTCGAGTGTGTATGCTGTTGGTCGCAGATGACCTTTACAGCGTCACCGGGTTTGGGGACGGCGAGATCTTAAGGGGACTTCAAGCCGAGAATTGGCGAGTGCCTCTAGAGGTATTCCAGGCAGATGGCATCTCCCCACGGGGTGAGTCTCCTCTCCGTCTGGAGCCTCTAGACCACTCGAACCTGAGGGGGACATTACAATCCTAGTGGAAGACAATGTCAAATAAACAAAAGAAATCTACCCGAATACGGGAGTACTCGACTCCGTTCGTTTGCCAATGGGATTCGGGTAAAGGGCTAAATGTACGGAGTCGAGTACGCGAGTGTTCGGGTAGATTTCTTTTTGTTTATCCGTCACTGTCTTCTAGCCCGTATTCCAGTGCAATCATCATCATCAGCCTATTAATGTCCCCACTGCTGGGGCACAGGCCATCCCTGTGGATGGAATAGGGAGATTGGGCCATGACCCACCACGCGGGCCCAGTGCGGGTTGGTGGGTGCTAACGACTGCAGATGCAGCCGGGACCAACGGCTTAACGTGCCTTCCGAAGCACGGAGGAGCTCAAGATAATAAATTTTCGGTCACCCATCCAATGACCGACCACTGCGAAAGTTGCATAAATTCAACGATGGCAGCGGAACGCGCTAACCACTTGCGCCATCGAGCTCCTCGTTCCAGTGCAATAATAATAAATATTGCTTCGAGCCCGAATTCGAGTAATGTCTTCCATGCACCCGAATTCGGGCTAGCGATCAAATATAATTGCGGCATTAGTCGTTTACCTGTATTATGTTGAATTATATTCTGTGCAAATTATTATTCAAAATATTTTTTTTATAAATTGAAAAGTAGTTTATCGATCACTGTATTAAAATTAATGAAAACCGGAAGTGCCAGATGGCGCGAATGAACTATGGCCGACTGAATTATGGCGGGGCGTAGGGAGTTGACAGATCATTCTGGTCATGACCGTTGAAGTCTGTAATTATTTTTATAAGACCTACTAATTCTGGAGTTGAATAAATAAGTTGCTGGTTTCTGAAGGAGTTTTGTTACACCTGAATTCCATGGGCACTCGTATTCGGGCTAACAACCAAATGTAGTCGCGCTATAACGATCGGCTATTTTCTCGCTGAAGAAACGTACAATAGATATATTACATTCTGTCTTAACATCGTAGATGCATACATTAACAGTTAAACACTGACTGTACACACTGCCGGCGATAGCTCGCTCCTCTAGATTGTCAAAAAATTACTATTAAAGATTATATTTTTTTTTTATTATTTTTAAAGCATGTAACTGCTTGATGTTTAAATCTAAAGAAAATATAACTAGAAAAAATTCCACGTGGACCAGGCAGCAGACGGGACTCGAACCCGCACCCTTCGCAATCCGGGCGAATGCACTGACCAATTATGCTACCGCGGCCCTCACGGACCGCGTCGAAATTCCTTCTAGCTATTCTTAAGCTGCAAGGCAGCGCCATCTCTTCGCATTGTACTTGTAAAAGTATTCATTTGACATTGTGGGTTTACCTATAATGCGAAGAGATGGCGCTGCCTTGCAGCTTAAGAATAGCTAGAAGGAATTTCGACGCGGTCCGTGAGGGCCGCGGTAGCATAATTGGTCAGTGCATTCGCCCGGATTGCGAAGGGTGCGGGTTCGAGTCCCGTCTGCTGCCTGGTCCACGTGGAATTTTTTCTAGTTATATTTTCTTTAGATTTACTATTAAAGATAATACTCGCTCAGTGATACTTACTCAGCGATGCTCGCTTGGCCGTCATTTTTGCTCAGAACTGCCTATGCGAGCGAATGGCGCCACTAACTGCCTGTTGTACACACAGACTCGCTTATAGCCCTGCGAGAAATTGATCGGAACTCCACGCTCGCTTCCCGCTACTCGCCAACTCGTTTCCAGTTTCCAGCTCTACTCGCTGTTGCGGGTAGGAAATATTTACTTTTAGGGAAAAACCAGATTTCTTTGACTTATTTATTTAATAACTTTTCGGAGCACAATGTAATCGCTGGACGCGCGGAGAAGAGTGTAGTAATACAATAATACATTGCCTGATAGTCTTAAGAAGTTAAACGACCTCAAATTCATAACTGTATTAACTAAACTTTTGATTGACAAATGCTATTATGACATTAAGGATTTTTTTACTGACAATTTGATATTTTGACATTTCAATAATGTAATTTTGTGTTAATGTAAAAAATATTAATATGGTAAGAGAAAGGGCGCATGCCCGAGATCCATAAACAATGTTTTATGTTAATATCTAATCTTTTTGGTGGCGATGCCAACACTCGCATCTCGTTAATCGTCGGTGGTAGGACATGTGCCTAAACTATTTTATGTCTTAATTCTAAGCAACCAGAATACGTGTCATGTTTATTGCATACCCGTACGAGACACAAACTCTACCAAGTTAGTATTAACGGGGACCTTTATTGGGGGGGTCCGCACTTGGCTAGAAAAGGATCCTCTCATCCAAAAACTTGGTTGACGTGTAAAATATTAGCGAGTGTTCACACAGGCGAGATATAAAAAAAAGTAAAAAAGGGTCTTTGATTTACCATTTCCATCACCATAGAAAGTAACATTGAAAATAACTGCCTAAACCGCTATTGATTTTGAGAACACCTTTTGCTAGTTGCGAATAAATTCTGCTTGAAACTGCGTAAAATTGCCTGTAAACATGAGACTGCAGCCGTAGACCTCTGCCGTCAGCACGGCGACGACCGCTGCCGATGAGTCATCAGCCGCCGCCAACGAGTCGTCAAAACGTCAACCTATCTACGGCTGAGGGCTCGTCGGCGGCGCAGTGGCCGTGTCGCCACGTTGACAGCAGAAGTCACCGGCTGCCTTCAAAAAGTTGCGACGCCTGCAGTTGATGCCATTAATAATAATAATAATATGAACTAGGTTACAGTATATATTGTACCTGTATTTCAGGCTTCTATGATCTAAAATACTTCTACTATAAGAATCATATAAATGTAAAATCTACATTTTATCGTTGTTCTCCTTTTTTTTACTTATGTAACACTTCTTTAAAGCGGGGAGAGGCTGGTGTACTGAGACACAGGCGTCAGCTTAGTTTGGTCACCAATCTCTCACAATCTTAGTCCTAAGTTTTATAATCTGTTACTCATGAAGCATGTATAAGATTGTGGAGAGAAAATAAAGATTATTATTATTAAAATAATTCATTTTATGATTAATAAATTAACAACTTAATTTGTAAACTTTATATGTTAATTAATGTAAATAATGGAGTTATGTTAGGTTATTGCTTGACATACAAGCAGACAGAAGAAATACTTTTTATTTCAAATAAATGATTAAATACTATATTTCATCAGTTAAAATAGTTAAATGGATGAATACTTAACACTCTATTTAACTTATTATATGACAAAGGAGTTGGGTATGTACAGAATCTACGAGAAATGCAGGCTATATCTTTTCGTCTTTTGTTAGTGATATCAGAGCCAAAAGGAGAAATGATGTGTTGTTTTAATATGGTGCACATAATGAGAAGCTGGCGAACAGTTAACACATTACAGTATTTGTAAAGTTGATGCGAAAGATATAGGAAGGTAATCGCTACTTTTAAAATGGCTCTCTGAGCTCGCTCGAGAGGGATTAAAATAGTTTTGAGAGCTCCACCCCATAAAGTTTTACAATATTGAATTACTGATTGGCATACTGCTTGATATACCTGTTTAATTCGTTTTGGACCTGCAATGGTACGTAATTATTTGACTACGGGGATATCGTATAATTACTACGGGTATATATGAAGCCAAACGTCCCATGACACAACGTGAGGTCGTCACAGAAATAACGCTTTATTTTGGGTCCATTCTCTGCCTTTGTGCTAACAACAAAGAATAACCACTAAATGTTACTCATTTGCTAGTAAACAATAAACAAATAAATAACTATAGTATGATACATTTATTGCATATTAAAATGAAATAATTCTTTTAAAAGAACCTCCCTTAGATTAGACGCGAAGACCTGTATTGTTAGTAATAAAATCCCGTTGATTGCATATGAAGATCAGAGAACTCCTAGTATTGCTAAGTTTGTTAAATTTATCATAGTATTGTCCTTCTACCGCTGGTGCCATCACAATATCCACCAAGCTTTTTCTTATGTCTGGTCACTCGAGAACCAAATTCATTTTATTTGGTGCTTTTAAATTTCCTGATTCAATATTTTGTTCAAAAAACGCACTTAGTCTGCAATCTCTGACGTGCAGGCATGATAACTACAGTGAGAAAACCTAACACCTACGACAGGTTCAGAACGTTTCTTGTCCATTGATAAATTGCTGATTCAATCAGCATCGGGAAATTTACAGCAGCCGCTTTCAATGCTTTCATCTTTTCCCAGTTCTTTCCAGCTTCCACCAAATCTTATATAGACGCTTGTAATTAGGGTTGCCACCCGTAGTTTATTATAAAGTATTGTACGTTATTTCGGGTAATTGTACTCTATACTTTATGCCAACAATAAAGTACGCGAAAATACTTTATTTAATTTGATTTGATTACTCGCGGATTGATTTTATATAAAATATACAAAAAGAGGAAAATTCCTATCTTCCTATCAAGGAAGAATTTTTGCGTAAAGCGGACCAAAGTATGAATATGTTGCCCTCAGCTAATTCCTGCAACATTTTCGTGGCTGTATGCCTTTGTATCATGACCTTTCCCATTGCGGAAAAAAACTACAGTAGCCGCAATTTTTTTATTAAAAGTTGCTATTAGCAACATAAAATATATTTTTAAGCTTACTAATAAAGTGGAATAAAAAGTACTTTATTTTGGGCACAATGTACTTTATTTCGACAAAAATAAGGTGGCAACCCTACTTGCAATACCAATAATTACAATAGTGCCGTCGCCTCGCGCGATTCCCCACCCCTCTCTCCCTTACCTTAGTCGGCCGCTGTCGCGTGCTTCAGCCACTTTAGTAGCCGCTTCTAGCTTCTCGTGGCGGCGTTTGTGGCTGTGGCGTGTGGCCCGTGTGCGGCGACACTTAAAGAAGTCTTGAACTGTTAAAAGCAAAACAAGTTTAACTATCTTAAAAAAAGTTTTATATTTCCAATTTGTTTTTTTTTTATGTTATTCACAAATCTTATAATTATATATGATCGCGCCCTTAAGTCAATCTCTTTTACTAGTTTCGGCCATTGAATGTTATTTACTTTTATTCGTAATGAAAAGAACATCCATTTACATTTGCAGTAAGAATCAATTCTTAAATGGATTACTTACATCAAATCGTGTACGCTCACATAGAGCCAATACTATGAAAGGATCTTGAAAAAAAAAATACGCTATTTAAGGTCATTTTAATACTTGTGCAAGTATCGTTGTCCCTAGTTATCATTTTTAAGTTAAAAACAGACACAATGGTGTCAATTCTGGCGTGATTCTCTAAACTTAAAACTAAATTTAACATCAATCTCTCCTTTTCATTCCGTATAGAGAATGACAAGGATACACTGTTGTCAAATTTAAGTTTAGGTTTAGAGAATAGTGTCAGAATTGACACCAATAGCCTATATACGCTTGCAATACCAAAAATATCACTCGAACTGTTGCCTACCCTGATCCAATCCCTTAGATCTGAAACCTCTCCTTTCTCACCGACAGAAACACAACACTACTAAAACGTAGTGTTATTTTAATATGGTATTTTGTAAGGTGGAGATTACTTCTCTTCAATTCGAGCGGGGAATAAGCTAAGCCCTACCTTTCTGACCACGACATTTTCTATCCGCAGAACAACTTCAACAAGCTCCCCTCAAGCCAAGTCTCCCGCCGGCAGCAGCGCCGGTGCAGCAGCTGGTGCATCAACCGCCGCCGGTGAAAGAACCCCGACCGCTCAAAATAAACAGCTGCAGAATGTCAAGGGCCAGGAACATCCACCGCACCCTTCTGTGAGTACAGATTAGATCTAAATTCGCCTGGCAAATTTGTCTCCCCATCTAAGTACATCTCTCTTATTTACGTCCGCAAATTTGCGCGTCCCTCGGAAATTTAAGTGTTTAAAGTACCTATATAAAAGGCTTGAGCCTAATTTTCAAGGATAAGGAGACACTTGTTTGACAACAATTGGAAGGGAAAATTTGAATAATATAATTTGAGGGGTCGAACTTACGACTTAGGGATCGAAGTCACTGTTAAAAAATTAATTAATCTATTGTTGCTTTGTTCAATTGCATGAACTGGTAAGCAATGCCATAAATACAGTTTCAATTTAAAATTGTATTTACAAGTAGAAAAAACTTCAAATTTAAAATTTCCCTTGTAGACAATGAAGCGATTTATTTGAACAAAAGTGTTAGAATCAATCCAATCAAGTAGAAAATCGCGCATGAAGAGAATTTAAACCAAACTTTCAGTAATACCGAAGTAGTAACAACTATTACCAGTCCAAAAGATGTGCGAACTCTTGTAATTCATTACGTAGCACAAAACGAAGCGATTCAAGGAATTCGAACAATTTCTAAAAGGAACATGGTTCCCGAGTAGGGAATGGGATTTCAAATGAAGCAACTTTGAAATTGTAGATTAAGCAAACACAGAATCGGTAGTCTCTTTTGTTGTTCGATGTGACGATCGATTTTGTAATTAGTCTCGAAAAGTAGGCCGAGTAGACAACTAAATTATTCATAATATCCATTTGGTGTATAGAAATTTGGTAGAATCGAACAGTAAGTATGAAATAGGTAACGTAATGGTTATATAGGTTGGTAAATTATATATTTGGACACATAGATGTTTAGCTATTGATTGCCAGTTCGGAATATTGAATTTAGTTAAGAACTTATTGGTTGTTAATGAATGAAGAAATTGGTACGCTCGTTGTGTCGTATAATAATTGTTTTCAAGATGTTGTGTCATTTGTCAGAGTTCGGAACTTTTAATCATCTGTTATTAAAACTTTTTGTACAGTCGAAATAGAGATAAAGAATTGATATAATATTTCCAATTAAAAGCGAGAGAAAGTTATCTCTACTAGTAGAGTAGCTCTCTAGAGCACAGCTGTTACAGTACTTATTACAATGTAATACAATTTGTAAATAACTTTTTGTCAATGTACTGTTAATATTTCAGTTATTTCTAATTACAAACAGCGTTAAAGTTTTGTTTGCAAATCAATTGTTCAAACAAATAATTTTCGTTGTTTTAACTCAGAATAATAACTAAATGGCAAAATTTGAAGTTCATAATAGATACTGCAAAGAAATCAGTTGTGTAAATAGAAAAAGTATTAAAAATGAAAGCGTAGTTTAAAGGGCATTTGAATTACACGGTGATAGTAAATAATCGTTATTGTTATAATTAGCTTAGAACAAACGTAAAAACAGATGATTATACGGTACCGGATGACTTTTCTCAATCTGAATTTTCAATGTTAGGTAATTTGTTGTTGTCCCTGGAATAATGTAAGAAAATTGGAAAACCAAAATTACATTTAGGATTCGATTTAATTATTAAGCTTCTGATATTTTCTTACATTGTCCCAGTCTATGATATTGATTTATAGCTACCTAAATGTGGATCGTAAGAAAATGCTAGGTTACATAATGGATGATCTGTAGTTGTATTATTATGTGTTGTTTTCTCTGTTGTTTGTAAAAAGGACAGTTCTAAATAAATTTTCAATAATCAATATAACTAATTACATCGGCCATTTACAATATGTACTCATTATATGAAACCACCGCAAATACTGTAGACATAAAAGACGAGAATAGAAGATATAAAGTATACTAGAAGTATAGGGATAAAATTAAACGATAAAGATACTTTAGAAATAGAATAGAATAGAAATAAATTTATCAGCCTTAAACACAGTCAGTAAATAAAACAAGACAAAAATAGGCCAACTAGGTCCCTGCCTCAGCTTGAATACTACAGCAACACCAGGGCTGCTGCAGCGCTGATAATTCTGGCAGGGCCTATGGTTGATAACACAGATAATAAATAAAACAGCAATAATACACCAAAAGAAACAAGCATACCAATAAATACATATCACAGAGAAAAAAAATGGAATGGCTGTATGTTTTTACAATCTAAGCCTTAAGACAATGCAAAGATTTAGTAAAAAAAATTCATTATAATACAGATTTTACATCGGATATTCTATGTAAAATATAAAGCCACCAAGCCTGTTATACCGTATTTATACCACGGGTACGAAACGGAAAAGCCGTTAAGTAGTCCGCGCGGTTTACGAGCGCTTACAATATACTCGTACTATCCGCTATTTTTAGTATTTTTACCCTGCGAATACTCCTCTCTACGGTATTAAATGCGGAACCGCAAGATCCCTGTTGAAGGACTTCTCACCGCTTCTCCGCACCCAACAGCCAGAGATCACACGGGGTATCTAGGGTGACCCTGCAGACGCACGCAGGCCTGAAAAATTCGATACGGCGAGGTCTCGTTAGCATTATTGGGTGGTAGGTCCACCAGTGGATATTTTTCTAGTAAAAACAGATTCTTTGGATTTATAAATCTAACAGGTAAATGCTTAAACACATAATCATCATTATCATTAGCCTATTAATGTCCCCATTGCTGGGGCACAGGCCTTCCCTATAGATGGAATGAAGATTGGGCCATGACCTACCACAGTGCGGATTGGCGAGTGCTAACGACTGCAGATGCAGCCGGGATCAACGGCTTAACGTCCCTTTCGAAGCACGGAGGAACTCGAGATAGAAGATTTCTGGTCACCCATCCAATGTCCGACCACTGCGACAGTTGCTTAACTTCAACGATCGCAGCCGAACTCGCTAACCACCGGCGCCATCGAGCTCCTCACGCCATCAAACGCCAAAAACATAGTAATTAAATTAAAATAAATAAATAAATATTTCCAACACTCACACCAATTAGCCTATCCCCAAAGTAAGCACTGTAACGCTTGTGTTATGGGATGCTAGGGTAACGGATAGAATACATATACTGTACATATATAAGTATATTTATATATAAATACATATTAAACATCCATGACTGGAGAACAAATGTTCATATTCACCACACAAACATCTGCCCCCACCGGGATTCGAACCCGGGACCTCTCGAGTCGGCGACACCATAAAACCCGGCGTATAAACCACTCGGCCGCGGAGGTCGTTAGTAATTTTTAGATAAGTATTCTAAGAATTATTAACGTTTTATATTTTAATTTCAGCGTTTAGTGTCACCGGGTTATAATTATGGAGGCCTATCGCTTTGTTTTTCCACGTGACCGGCGCCGTTTCATAAAGCCAACTCGTAAATTGTGACACAAAAGGAAGATGGGACAAGTTATATACTGTTGTATCCCTTTGGACGTATCTTTCTCCATTAGGGTCTAATATTACGCGGAAATATTTACTGATCCCGTTTTATTGATTCATTTAACTGGAGCGTAACGGATCGCTTGGTGATTCTATTGATATGCCATTAATATTGGAAATAAAGAATATAAAAACTACTACTACTGTAATTTACAAACGATTACGGATACAATAACTTCATCTATATCACTTTTAATGATTTCTTCTAAGAAATTTTCAAAAAGTAAGAAATTTTCTTGAACCTAAGTTGAACGGCTATTATTCTTAATCTATCAAATCTATCTTAACTGTTATAGTCTTCCTCAAAAATTTATGAGAAGCACTATTATCATGATTTGTTTTAGGCTTTTCAAGCCAATAGTTTAGCTTTTAGAGGGGTGGAGGTGGGAGGGGTGCCTTATTCGAACAAAAATTAGCACTTTAAAGTACAATATATCGCAAACGGATCCCCTAATTCGAAAAATAGTCTTAGGATAGGAACCCCTAAGTCCATTCCACACGAGGGGGTAGATGATGAAAAATTATCATCCCCAGGTTACATGTAGGGGAGCTATCCGCTATAAAAGCGGGGACGGACAGACGGTCATGACGCAACTATAAGGGTCCCTTGTCACGACTATGTTACCCTAAAAAGGTAAATTTTTAGCGGTTACGCACGAAGTGTACTTGTATTCACTAATGAATGGCACAAAAGTGATTAACCACTTAACCGTGGACAACAGTGATTATCGTAAAGGGATAAAGAGTATCGTAGAGATAAAGAGCATCCGTAGTAAGCATCCTATATTCTTACCCCGTTGGGTAAGAATATATATGCTTACTACTTCTTACCCCATTGGGTAAGAATATAGGATGCTTACTACTTCTTACCCCATTGGGTAAGAATATAGGATGCTCTTTATCTCTGTATCACCATTTGTAACCATATTCTGCAAATAAAGGTGATTATGATTACGCGATGTCGCATACCATTTCTGTAGTATCACGCAGGTTGCGATATGCGTTATCGCTTATGTCTGAATAAGCCTTAGCTTCTATTATAACATTCTCTCAGTGAAAATTCAATTACTGCTGAAAATGTTGCCAGATAGTATTCGATGTTTACATCAGTAGTTTCTGGAATAGATGTCCCATCGATTGCGTGGAAGCAAGGCCTCGCTGTGTTTCATCGCGTATTTGCAGTGGATGTCGGCTACATTCGTTTGTCGCTACTAAGTGTAGTGCAAACTCGCTTTGGCTCTTAATTAAACGGCTGAGCCTTGTGTCATCGTTGCGACGTGTCCTTTGTTATTTACACGATGATGAGATCTATAGCAGCTGGAGCTGAAAAACTATCAGATATTTTGAGAGCACGAACATTTGAATATTTGTTTTCAGTAAATGTAACTGTTCTGTTATAGAAGGCAGAGAATTTAACTTTACTTTTGATTAATGTTTCTAACTCCGTAGATTCGGAACTCGCATTATTTTATGTTATGAAATGAGGATCTAAGTCCGTATTGAAAGACCTTGTGTTATTTTCTTTGATATTAAGTAATTTGAATTTGAGAACATCTAGTTTTAAAGATGTAGCGCTG